GTGCGGGGTCGTTTCTTTGGGATCGGATCATGTTCCTGGGCGCCGGCGTGGATCGGGGCGTGCACTTTGGAAGCGGCGGCAACGTTTCCAGGATATGCGCCGACGCCGCCGAGTCCTTCAGCGCTACCGTCGCGCTCTACCTCGCCAGAAAGGCAGGGTCGGACATTTTTTTTTTTTTTTTTTTTTTTTTTAAAAAAAAATAAAAGAATAAAAAAAAAGAAAAACATATATAAAGAAAAGAAAAACATATATATATATAAAATGTAGAAAAAGAAAATAAAAACTATACATATACATACATATATATATATAATATATTCAAAACATATACATAACAAATAAAAAAATATACATATATATATATATATATATGAAAAATATTCAGCGGCCGCGTCTGGATCGTCGATCGTCGGGGTTAGTAATGGGGACCTCAAAGAGGGCTAACGAGTTTTGTGGAGCTACCCCCCCCCCCCCCCCCTCCCGACATAAGAGTTGTTCCTCGAGAGCGAAATTAGCCATACTTGGGTATCCAAGGTGGAGGCCTGCTGTCGCTCCTGTGCTCAAGTGGGCCGCGGTTGTCTGGGCGGCCATCGCGAGCCCAGCTTCGTGTTTTCCTGCGGTGAAAGTTTTTTGCAGTTTCTGGCGCGCGGTCCCGTTTGATGATAGCGCGACTGTGAGCAATTCGCGAGGCCCTTTGCAACGGATGCACCTCAGCCTGCATGGGATAGGCTGGACATCCACCTCGGCCCTCACCCTCCAAGATGACTACAACCGTAAGATTGCCTTGATTTACACTTCCACCTTGACGCTTTCGTTTATGCTCGATTTGGCTACTCAGAGATCCCATGAGAGGGCGCTCGCGGTGAGCACTCCAGGGTTTCAAGGGGCCTGTGTTTGTGTCGAGCGTCTGAAAATGCTGCTCGGGCCCAAGGGGAAGGGACTCTCCCAAAGGGAAAAGTACCTTGCGCTCACGGTTTTCTGCAGGGGAGTTAGGGCGCGTGCGAGGGCGCGCGCCTGTGGGTATGCCGCATCAGGAGACTGCCCGCTCTGTGGTCTTCATGATAGTGTTCGGCACCGCGCTTGGAGGTGCCTTCGTCCCGACGGTGTCCAAGCCCGAGCTGATGCGCTCGGCGCGGATCTTCCTCCTTGGTATGCCGAGGCTCTGGACAGCGAAGATAGGAATTTTTACGTTGAAATGAAATGGGATCACCCTGGAAGTTCCCGGCCTCCCCCGTCGAACAACCGGGGCCCCGCTCCCTTCGGCGCCGAGAGAAATGAGGTGCCCTGGGGCCCGATCGACCTGCGGGGGCTTGATATCTGCGTTGATGGTTCGGCGGCGCGTCACCCCATTAGGGAACTCTCGAGGGGCTCCGATGCGTGGATCTTCTTGGGGCCCAATTGTGATGGGCGTGTTGCCACCGCCCGAGGTGCCGTCTTAGACGCCCTCCCTTAGACCTCTCCGGCAGCCGAGCAGCAGGCTATGCCCCCCCCCCCATCTTCCAGAACTGCGGGGGGACCAGGTTCGGGGATAGCATGGCGGTGATCAAGACGTGCTCCTCGTCGGTCGAGAACCAGTGCTCGAGGAAGCACCGCTGCGCCGGCTTGCGGCGAGGCTTTTTGTTGCGCGAGCGAGCAGGCCACCAGCCGCGGTGCCGGCGTGCGCCTGCCCGCCGCGCGATGGCCACGATCGACGAGCCCCCCCATGATGAGAAGAGAATCGGACTGGGAAGCTGGTATGCAGATGCCCAGGCCAAGAGAGCTCTCCTCGACCAACCTCAACCCTCTCGCTCCGAGTGTCAGGGGGTTGAGTGCAAGATAGATCAGCTCAAAACCATCGCTTGTTTAATGGGCAAGGCTTGCGCCGTTTATTCGCAAGATAGATGCGATCGTGTTGCGAGTTCGGGTCCGAGGGCCAAGTTCCTGAAATCTGGAAGTTGGCACGCCTGGCAAGTTCTAGATAATGGGCGTGCGAGGTGCCTCCGATGTTAAACCCTCTCGCGTGACCAGGGACCAGGACTCGAGGCCCATGCTGGGCTGTAGAGGCATGCGTAGGACCCTCAAGAGAACCCTTGATATGTCTGTAGGACACACTTTGGCGCACTGCACGGTAGTTCAGGGCGCAGATGAGAGGTTCATGTTTTTCTGCACAGTCTGCGCGGCTTACGCGACCCGCAGATGCCGTCTCCTCGGTAAGGAATGCCAGCAGCGTAAGCTTGCTGGTGGTGCGCATTGTTTGAGACGGGTTTATGATGGCCAGTTTCCTCAGCCTCATCAGCGCGCTGAGGTGACGACGACTTCCCGACGTGGAGTCGCTAATCTGTGCTACGCTGCCGCGCTCCCGCCGCCGGACGAGGTCACGCTACAGCTGACAGCGACAGGCCTCCTTCAGACCGATGGTATGAATGCTTTAAGCGTGCGTGTGCAGGCGAAGGAGGAGGCGGCTAGGGCCACCTCCTCCTCTGGCACACAAGGATGGTTGGCACATGGTTCGACCCCGCGGGGCCAAGACATTTGTGATGATCATGCTGCTCAGAGGGATGATGCAAATGCTGGTTCTGTACCAGATGATGGTGATGCTGATGATGGTCACCATGATCAATGTGTGTGTGTGTGTGTGATGACAATGGCGATGAGGACGACGTCGATGCTGATGATGATGCTGCTGTTTATGACGATATTATTGCTGTTGGTGGTGATGCTGATGATGCCCATGGTGATGCTGATGATGATTTTGATGATGATCATGATACTGAAAATGATGCTGATGGGGAGAATGACCGTGTACCTGGTGATGACGATGATGATGGCGGTTCACACACAGGACGATGCTGATGATGATGGTGAGTGGTCGGGTGATGATGCTGTTGATGATGACGATGCTGCTGCTGCTGATGATGATAATGATGCCTGTGATGATGGTGGCAAGGTTGAGGGTGACAAAGCTGCTGCTGACGATGCTGCTGCTGCTGCTGGTTGTGATGATGCTGCTGCTGATGATGCTGATGATGATTATGCTGATGGTGGTTCTGCCGGTGATGGTGATAGTGCTGAGAGCGAGGGCGAGGATGATGATGATGATTCTGAAGGCCAGTGTGCGGGTGATGCTGCTGCTGGTGCTGCCGACTAAGGTGGCGAGGCCGAGGGTAATGAGGTTGATGTTGTTGATGATCGCAGTCCCGATGTTCATGATGATGAACCTGTGGATGATGATGGCGACGATGACGACGAGGAAAATGCTGCTGCTGGTGACGATATTGTTAATCATGGCGGTGATCGGGTTGCTGATGATGAAAATATGCTGATGGCGGTGGCAGGATGGTGAAACTGGTGATGCTGATGATGGTGATGATGATGACGATGATGCTGCTGATGATGATGCCGATGCACATGCGGAGGATGCATTTTGCAGTGGTAGTAGTAGTAGTAGTAGTAGTACTAGTCTTCGTAGTAGTAGTAAGTAGTAGTAGTAGTAGTAAGTAGTAGTAAGATAGTAGTAGTAGTAGTAGTAGTAGTCGTAGTAGTAGTAAGTAGTATAATTAGTATTAGTATTAGTATAGTAGTAGTAGGTAGTAAGTAGTAATAGTAGTAGTAGTAGTAAGTAGTATAGTAGTAGTAGTAGTATTCGTAGTAGTAGTAGTAGTATTAGTAGTCGTAGTAGAGTAGTAGTAGTAATAGAGTAGTAGTATAAGTCCGTATATCGTAGTAGTCGTAGTAGTCGTAATTAGTAGTAGTAGTATTAGTAGTAGTAGTAGTAGTAGTAGTAGTAGTAGTAGTAGTAGTAGTAGTAGTTGTAGTAGTAGTAGTAGTAGTAGTAGTAGTAGTAGTAGTAGTAGTAGTAGTAGTAGTAGTAGTAGTAGTAGTAGTAGTAGTGCTGCACATGGTCTTCGTGCGCTACAAACGCCACGTCCGTGTACCTTTCTTATGTATAAGGCTGAAGAGAATTCCTACACAGGGGAATTACGATCACCGTAGTTTTAAACCTGGTCTTCGTGTCTTGAGGAGGAGGAGGAGGAGGAGGAGGAGGAGGAGGAGGAGGAGGAGGAGGTAGGAGGAGGAGGAGGAGGAGGAGGAGGAGGAGGAGGAGGAGGAGGAGGAGGAGGAGGAGGAGGAGAGGAGGGAGGAGGTGGAGGATGAGGGAGGAGAGAGGAGAGGAGGAGGAGGAGGAGGAGGAGGTGGAGGGAGGTAGGAGGAGGAGGAGGAGGAGGAGGACAGGCGGAGGAGGAGGAGGAGGAGGAGGAGGAGGTAGAAGTGGAGGAGGAGGAGGAGGAGGAGGAGGAGGAGGAGGAGGAGGAGGGGAGGAGGGGAGGAGGCGGAGCGGAGAGGAGGCGGAAGGCGAGGAGCAGGAGGGAGGAGAGGAGGAGGAGGGGGAGGAGGAGTAGGAGGAGCGGCGGAGGAGGCGGGAAGGAGGCGGAGGAGGCGGAGGAGGCGGAGGAGGCGGAGGCGGAGGGGATGGCGGCGGCGGAGGAGGAGGGAGGAGGTGGAGGAGGGAGGAGGAGGTGGAGGAGGAGGAGGAAGGAGGAGGCAGGAGGGTAGGAGGAGGAGGAGGATGGAGGGGGCAGGAGCAGGAGGAGGAGGAGGAGGGAGGAGGAGGGAGGAGGAGGAGGAGGAGGAGGAGGAGGTGGAGGAGGAGGAGGGGGAGAGGTGGCGGAGGAGGAGGCGGGAGGAGGTGGAGAGGTGTGAGGAGGAGGAGAGGAGGAGGAGGAGGAGGAGGCGGCGGAGGCGGCAGGAGGGCGGAGGAGCGGGGAGGAGGCGGATGAGGCGGAGGCGGAGGCGGAGGCGGCGGAGGAGGAGGAGGAGGAGAGAGGAGGAGGTGGAGGCGGAGGGAGGAGGAGGAGGAGGAGGAGGAGAGGAGAGAGGAGGAGGAGGACAGGAGGAAGGAGGGAGGAAGGAGGTAGGTGGAGGAGGAGGAGGAGGAGGAGGAGGCGGAGGAGGAGGTGGAGGAGGAGGAGGAGGAGGAGGAGGAAGGACAACGAAGATGACGACGTCGAATGTAAGCTGAGGCCGCCGTTCCCGCGCAGCCGAGCGCCGACGGCGGCGAGGCGCCCACCGCTGCTCGCCGCACGGCCGGCGGCGGCCCTCTGGCGGCTGGCCTCGTCGCTGGCCGTCGGCGGCCTCTTCGTCGGCCTCCACTGGCGCTGGCCTATCGTTGCTCCTGGGGGGCCTGCGTCGGCCTCCGTGGGCGAGGCGGAGGCGGAGGAGGAAAGAGGAGGAGGGAGGAGGAAGGAGGAGGAGGAGGAGGAGGGAGGAGGAGGAGGAGGAGGAGGAGGAGGAGGAGGAGGAGGAGGAGGAGTGAGGAGGAGGGAGGAGGAGGAGGGGAAGAAGAGAGGAGGATGGAGGAGGAGGAAGGCGGAGGAGGAGGAGGAGGAGGAGGAGGAGGAGGAGGAGGAGGAGGAGGAGGAGGAGGAACGGATGATGATGATGGATGATGATGATGATGAGATTGAGGAGGAGGAGGAGGAGAGGGAGGAGGAGGAGGAGGAGAGGAGGAAGGGAGGAGAGGAGGAGGAGGAAGAGGAGGAGGAGGAGGAGGAGGAGGAGGAGGAAGAGGAGGGGAGAGGAGGAGGAGGAGGAGGAGGAGGAGGAGGAGGAGGAGGAGGAGGAGGTGTGAATCGCAGTGCTGTTTCTTGCCTGTTGCTGCCTCGGCCCGTCCATAAACCAATCTGGTTCGAGCTTGCGAGGTTGCGCGCGGGGCCGCGCAATAGATAAACGAGCAGGCTCCAGGGGAAGATCGGTCAGGAGAATTGCGGGAGGGAGAAGTACTAGGACGTACTTGTATTTTGAACGATTCTGAGGTTTAGAATCTGCATTGGTCTTGAGCCAACGTCGAGTCCTCCAGCGGGGACATGGCAGACGGAGGCTCTGCGAGTGGTGGTGCAGGTCAGTGGCGACGTCTCTCCGGCAGGGGGAACGACACGGCGCTGGAGTACAAGAGCTGGCGGAGCTGGATCGGCGCCAAGCTGGCCGTGGAGACGAGCAGAGGCTTGGCGAAAGAGGCTCTGGGCCCGCTGGTGCTGACTCTGCTCGACGACGAAGCAGAGAGAGCCTGCGAGCACTTGGAGCTCGCGGACATCAAGAAGGAAGGAGGCGCCGATCTGATCTTCCAGGCCCTGGAAGAGCGCTTCCCCGACAAAGAGGCCAGCGACAGGATCGGCGACGCACTGGAGAGTGTCTTCGGGCTGGCCATCGAGCGGGGCGAGACATCCTCGGCGTACACGGGAAGAGCGAGAACGATCTTCGCCAAGGCGAGGATGGAGGGGGTGGAGCTCCCTTCGGTGGCGCAGGGGTTCCTGCTCTTGAAGGGGGCCGGGCTCGGCATGGAGCGGAGAGCGGTCGTGCTGGCGGCCAGTCAGCGCCAGTGGGGCTTCTCCGAGATGTCGGCCGTCATCCGGGCCGCCTACCCCAAGCAGATGCCGACGTCCCAGGTCCACGAGGTGAACGCCTGGGAGGACAGGTCCGCCACCGCGCCCACGGCCTCGGCAGCGGAGGCGACATCGACGATCGAGGAGGATGACGTTGAGGCCGAGATAAATGAGCTGCTTGGGGAGGAAGATCCCATTGACGAGGAGGACGCGATCGACATACTGGCTACGTGGAAGGAGACGAGGACTGCAATGACCAAGGAGAAACTACAACGGGGACTACCCGGACGCGATGCAGTGGGGCTGAAGCGAGTGAAGGATAAGGTCCGCTGCTTCCTGTGCAAAGAGATCGGCCACTTCAGCCGGGAGTGTCCGAAACGACACCGGTCACAACAGGGTGGTCAGAAGCGTTTCATGCAGAGATCTTTCAATCAGGGACAACGAGCAGTACGACAGGAAGCGGTGATTCAGGTGATGGTGACTCAGCTGGCGATGGCAAATGAAGATGACGAGTGTGCATGGTCTGAGATCGACGTGCTGATCGCCTCATGGTCGAGAGACAAGCAGCCGAACCTCATCGCCAAGCTGACGAACGAGGAGAGGTTCAGACGGCTGGCGCACGAGAGGCGCGAGACGGAGCAGGACGCCGATGCGGACGAGATCGGCGAGGCTGACGGAGATGAGGACACCGTCGAGGCGTGCGCGTGTCACGCTCCAGGCTGTGGCGCCCTGGACTCCGGTTGTGGCATGGCCCTGATCGGTTCGGAGACTCGAGGAGTGCGAGAAGGAGACGGGCCTGAAGCCGGAGTGGGAAGGGGACGCACCGAGCGTCAGATTCAAGAGCTACGACGGGAAGCTCAGGAGGTGTCAGAAGGCGTGCTGGATTCAGTGGCGCATCCCTGCGGCCAAGAAGCGGGTGAAGATCCTGGTCTACGTGATCGAGGGCAAGGCCGGACTCCTGATCAGCAAGCAAGTGATGAAGATGCTCCAGGCGAACCTGGACATGAGCAAGAATCGACTGGCTTGGCCGGCTGGACACGTCAGTGCCTGTTCGCGAAGCGGAAGGCAGTGGACACTACGAAGTGGATCTGTTCGGGCGCGAGTTTGAGGACAACCCGAAGCTGGACACTTCAGTGGATGAGACGATGCTGAGGATCGACGACCTGCCGACGCCTTTTCAGTAGGGCCGGGTCGGCGCCCTCAGGCCAGCGAGGACATCAGCGTCCAGGTCCTCGCCGTGAAGAACCAGGTGCCCGGGGTGATGGAGATCTTTTCGCCCCCGCGGGTGTGCCTGCGCGCGCCCGACTACGGGGTGCGCGACCTCGGGTCGTTCGACAAGGTCTCGGGCTGGGGCGCTCGCCAGCCCCAGGACGCGCAGGAGCTGTGGGATAGGATTCAAAAGGAAGAGCCTTTCTGTGTTATCATGTCACCTCACTGCGAGAAACTCACGGCTCTTCAGAATCTGACCCCAGATGAAAAACGGAGAGATCTGAAACGACACCTTCGGGAACTCCTGGAAGCAAAGCGTTTTGTGTTGGAATGTATCCGGATTGCCGAATGCCAGCTCTCCAACGACAGGCGCTTCATCTTTGAGGCACCTCCGACTGCAGCGACATATGGGCTACGAGCTATGAAACGGTTACTCCAGGATCCAAGGGTCCATGTGGGTGTGACGAGTGGTTGTCGCGTGGGCCTTCGGCGCCCCATTTCAGGAGTTCTTCTGAGGAAGCGCTGGAAATTCGTGACATCGTCACCGGAGGTGGCAGCTGAGCTGTCTCTCCCATGCTACGGTGACCATGCCCATGTGCGGACCGAGGGTGGGAGCCCTCTGCCAGGATTGGGTATCTCTCTTCCCCGATTGACTCAGATCTACCCGACAAAGCTGGTAAAACGAATTCTACAGGGACTTTCGAGGGCCTGTGTGATCTGTGATGGGGGAGAGGAGGTGGAGGCCTGTGCTGTCGATGAGGATCGAGGAGACGATGATGAGGTATGTCCCAGGCGACCGCAGAGTTTTGGGGCGGCCTTACGACGGCTCCATGTGAATCTGAGTCATGCAACGACTGCGACGATGTTACGACACCTACGACGTGCGAATGCGAGTCCCGAGGCGTTATGACAGGCAGCGAATTTCCATTGCGACGACTGTGAGTCACGCCGACAGCCCGGTATCGCGAGGTACAGCGCCCCTCCCGCACTTCAGCCTCCGTTGAAATCGGTGGCGATGGATGTGAAGGAACTGCCCTTCTACATCCCAGGGGAAAAACGGAAGTGTCTCAACATCATCTGCGATGCATCATCTCTTCATGTGATGGCTCCGCTGAAGGTCGGAGAGACGGAGTCGTCCCAAGTTCTGCTTCGCACGTGCCGGGGCAACTGGGCCCGACCGTACATGAGGCCCAAGTGGCTGAGGGTAGACGCTGCTAGTGCACATGTGTCGGGAGATTTTCAAGATGCCATGGGCCGGGATGGGGCGATTCTGGTGGATACTGCAGGTATGGCAAAGGGGCAGAACGGGAAAGTGGAGGTACACGGTAAGTGGTTTGAACAGTGGTTGCAAGTGATGATTGATGAGGTTCAGCCCCAGGATGAAGGTGAATGGTTGGAATGTGTAGCGCAGCTCCAGGAGGCCAAGAACTCGGTGTTAAGTGTGGAAGGTGTTTCCCCGTGTCAGATTGTTTTCGGCAGGAACCCGGAGATCCCAGAAGATTTACTTCAAGAGAGCCCGAACCTGGTTGCTAACAGCTGTGTGTTGCACGATTCTGTGGCAGCGAGGGCTGCCAGTATTCGCGCCATGGCCCGACGGGTGATATTGGCGCACAACGAGAAGAAGGCAGCTCGTGTTGCCCTCGATTGCCGTCCGCGGGTGCATCGTGTTCTTCAAGCTGGAGATATGGTAGCTGTGTGGCGCAAGGTCGAGGGTGCAATAGCCGGAAAGACGTCATCGTACAGGTGGCGACCAGGAATCTGTGTTGGGCCTGTCAGGGGAAATTACTGGGTTGCTCTTCCTGGAAGCCTTGTGAAAACGTCCCCGGAACAGATGAGGGAGGCTACGAGGGGGGAGCGTGCGGCATGGAGGTTGGTGGAGGCTGAATTACGGACGACGACGGTTGACCTGGATAGTTTGTCTGGGAGATATTTTGACGACATCACGAAGGGCCCCAAGCCTCCAGAAGGTCCCCCAGAAGCAGAAGTAGATGATTCAAGTTGGGCGGTTCCAGGTCCAGGGGATGGGGTGCCGACTCCGGCGCCTTCGATATCGATCGACCCGACACCGCCACCGACGCCGCCGCCAAACATGTCATCGGCCGAACCAACTCCAGGAGCTCCCTCGTCCAGGTTCCCGTGCCCCGACTCCAGATGGTCCTCGTGTCCATGCGCTGTGCCGACGGGGAGTCCTGACCACCCGACGGGGTCCCGACGGGTACCTTTCGGATCGAAGACGGGCCCAAAGAAGGAAGAGCTGACTAGGAGCGCCGATGAACCGGCGGACCCTCAGCCGCACAAGCAGCCCCGCCTAGAAGAGCCTCCAGGACTGTCCGACTCCAGCTCTCTACCACCTCATCCATCTCAGTCTTCCAACCCCGAGGCGGATCCAACGCCTCTGTTCGACTGTGGAGCGGTCACGTGTGACGGGGGCGAAGAGGCCCCGATCTTGGCAGTGACGGACACTGACGTGCTACTTGCCAGAGGGAGGAAGGAGGAGCGTGAGAAGGATTCAAGGTGGCAGACTGAGGAGGGACGACGTCAGGTGGAGGAGGCATATCAGAAGGAGTTCCAGAAATTGATCGTCGATCAGAAGGCCTGGAAAGCTCGTTCGGTGGAGGAGTCTCGTCGTCTTCTCCTGGAGGTCCCGGGCCGCATTTTGCCATCACGCCCGGTGCTGACCCTCAAAACGGAGGATGACGGGAGCACGGAATTGCGATGCAGGCTGACGGTGCAAGGTTTTAAGGATCCAGATGTGCTGGAGATGGTCCGAGCTGGCAAGACCCAGAGTCCGACACTCTCAGCAACAGGGAAGGCGACTGTCCTACAGCTGGTGGCTTCGGCTCGGTTTCAACTGGTTCTGGGAGACATCCGAGGAGCGTTTCTGGAAGCTGATCCTGAGGAGAGGCCCAATGGGCCGATATTCGTGAAAGCACCCAGGGAGCACACACCAAGGGCCATCGCCCGGACCAGCTGTACGAACTTGTGAACGGCTACGGCGGTGTGGACCAGCCGCAGCGGTGGTTCTCGACTTTTAAGCGGTATGCTGAGGAGATCGGCTTCGTGGCCCATCCTCTTGATCCGTGTCTGTTTATTATGTTAGAGGCGGTGCGGGCTGGACAGCCAGTACCTTCGACACCTCAGTGTGTGCCGATTGGATCTGCTCGAGGACCTCCAGGTGCCTTGTGTGGGCTGATGGGGATACATGTGGACGACGCGGTAGGAGGAGGACGAGGTGACAGGTGGGAGAGTGCCATGGCTAAACTCAAACGACGGTTTCCCTGGAGGAAATGGAGGATTGGGTCTGGTGAGTTTACGGGGTCTTGGTTACAACAACTTTCGGACGGAACTATCATGCAGTCACAAAAGGCCTATGCTGAAACGATGAAACCAGTCAAGATGAAACGATGTGCCGAAAATGAAAGCAAGGCGTTGCCCAAGGAGAAGTCTGCGCTGATCTCGATGAACCAGGCTGGCAATTGGCTGGCAGGTCAAACTAGGCCTGATCTTTCTTGCCAGGTGAGCAAGAACCAGCAGCTGTTGCCGAATCCGACGGTGAAGGAGATAAAAGATGCCAACATGCTCGTGCGCCGTGCTCGTCAACATAAGGATCTTACGATACGATATTTTGCGATCCCACTCGAGGGCCTCAGGATGATGATCCATACCGGCTTTGCCAGAGGTGAAAGCGATGGTCTCAAGAAGACCCAAGGGGGATATGTGCTGAGTGTGACGACACCGGGTATGCAACGGGGGGAGGTATCACCATGGAATCCTATGATCTGGCGGAGCTACCGACTCAAACGGGCAATGCGATCGTCTCTGGGTGGAGAGGCCTCTGCACTGGCCGACGGTCTGGGGCATCTGGAATGGGTAGTGTGTTTCTTTGCGGGGTTTATGTTTCCACAGTTCACTCTGGAGACGAGGTGTGAGTTCTTGAAACCTTTCGAGGCTGTTGCGATTATAGATGCAAAATCGGCTTATGACCATATCAATAAGATATGTTCCCCAGGGGCTCATGAGGGCCGACGATGTGCTGTGGAGCTCATGATTGCCCGACAAGCCCTTCAGAGATTTGGAGGCACTTTGAGGTGGGGTCCCACGTCCTTGATGGTAGCCGACGCCCTCGCCAAGGAAATGGCCGAGGCCCGCGACCTACTGAGAGCATGCGTCCGATCTGGAGTGCATCAGCTTGTGGACGAGTCAAGTACTCTACAAGAAGCAGCAGCAGAGAGAGAGCGTCGCCGACTCCGCAGAGAGGTCTCGTCACGCGACCGACTGCCGACTCCCGCGCCCTCGGTCGCCTGTGCAGTGGTGGCTCAAATGGTAGGCTTTACAGCACGCGGGGAACCCCACACGGTGCGAAGCTTCCTCCAGAGCCTCACGGATGCAGAGACCAGCTACCCGAACATCGTCGGTTGCGTAGCGGCCGAGCGTAAGATGACAGTGAAGGTGCCAGCTGGAGTCCTAGACACGGGCCTGAAGGCGAGTCGACACATGAGAGTGACCCTGATATACCACAACAACACGAACTACGTCGAGGTGCTCACCGGAGCTGCCATCGAGGACTCGATGATCCGCCAGGTGAGCGAGTTGGAGAGGAGCTATTTCGAGGCTGCTGTCCACAACCCGTCCTGCAAGATGGAGATGCCGACTGGGAGCGAGCACCTGACTAAGGTCATGCGCTTTCCCCCGTATGAGGACGAGGGTAAGGGCACAGAGGCGGGCAGTTCAATCAAGAAGGAGGAGCCGAGGGAGGATGCCGGATTCATCAAGGTCGAGATGCCAGACTTATTGAAGGAGGATCCGGCGTACCAGGAGGCGCTCTCGACCACAGCGTTGGCGGTCATCGAGCGGATGTCCAACTAC